CCGCAATAAAAATAAATAAAACACTTCTGGTTTTGAAGCATAAAAGTTATTAGTGTTCTTAATAACTTTGAGCCCTGGTTCTTGGGATGTAAGTTTCCTTCGGATAAGGAACTTAGTGTTAGGGACTCTTTGAGTCGTACGTCTTCCTCTGACGCTTAGCTACGGCAACCCCGTCGCATGCTCCGTTCCTCCTGTCAAAGCTTGAGCTGGGAACTTGACCGCTTTGTTGCTGAAAGCCATAAGTAAGAATGGATCGAAATTTCTGATTCTGTTTGGGTGTCCAGTATCTTTGAAATTTCTAAGAAAAATCCTACTTCTGGACAAAAGCTGTCTCGCTCTGAGTGAGTACACTTTGGAAATTGCCGGTCCGCTGGGTTATCGGCTACCGTCGCGCCAACTCACAGCCGATTGTTCCAAAGATTCCGCTGCATCGCATTGATGAACGCTTTGATCAGATGCCTGGTTGCGCCATCTTTTCCCTTCTGGATGTGTCCCAAGGATATCATCAGATGCGTATCGCGCTCGAGAGTCGCAGGTATACCGCCTTTCGCGCATGCGGAAACCTACCATTGGTGTGTAGCTCCTTTGAAAGTACATGCTCGTTGAAACTGAAGTCTTTTGCATTTAGCTGACCAGAAGGAGTTTCAGCACTTTCACCGGCGCGTTTTGTGAAATATTGTGCGTATACGTCATTAAAGCGAATGTGTTTAGCAGACTTTTGGTAATAGAGCTAGGATTACGTAGTTCGTAGAATGAAATGTTTAGGCGTGTAGTTGCGTATGAATCATTGTTAGCAACCTCTGTCATAGAAGTGTCCTCATTCTGAAGAACACCGAATGAGGCCGCTAGATGCCTACCGCTCGGCGCGCGTCAAGCGCGTGCCCGACACGTGCCACATCTGAAGCGACAGGAACGGTGCAATCGCATTGGCAGATGGTTTGGTACCCTGGTTTATGATTGGACGGCAACTTCCATTTGGCCTATCACGGGATCTGCCACGGGAGGACAAATCGTGGCATGTGGCATTCCCGCTGTATACAGCGTGTCCGTCCTACCCAAGTGTGTCCGGCCCAGATTACGATTTATATGCATGTTTGTATGCAGGTGTGTCCGTCCCAGTACACTATTTGTATACAGGAGCTTGCTATAGTCGGAGGGCATTAGATGCTGCATAGGTAGGAAGGAACAAATCGCACTAGGACTTCTGACTCAATTGATCTCACTTTCAAATTTCCATTGATCGGCTCATCGACTGTAAGCCTCGTTCCCTTACTCTCAATTCAACCAGCTTGATCTCCAGTAGATAACATAGCAGTCATAGTTTGATTTGCAGCAACGATAGAAACCACGATAGGGCAAGTCTGTCTGATAGTCATCGAAACAGAATCAAGTTTCATTGTAGTAGCCATACCAGATATCTTGACCGGACCAGGGTTAAAGCGTACAGAATATTCCAATTTGGGACTCGATTTGAAATATAGTTTTAATTGGAGACTCACTTTTTACCAAACCTCTACAAACCCGTTTTTTTTTACCTCGTGAGACAGCGTGACGCCTAGCGTACGATCCATGACAGTAGCAGCGTAATCGATCACAACGGGAATCTTGTTCTTAAGCGCAGTTTTGGCCTTCACGTCAGGCATACGCCGATGCATTTCTCCAATCTCGTGTTCACTCCAGCGCCGTCGTTCACTGTAGAGCGAATGGGAAGTGGAGATAAGTCCAGCGTCTTTAGCATCTTGTCAGTGTATTGCAGGGGTCGGAAAAAATAATATCAATACAATAATTACTGTATTGTCTGGCTACAATTATTTATTATTGGACTAGACCAAAATCAATACAATATGATATTGTCCCAATA